ATTCCGCCAGGCGCTCCTACAGATTGCCGCATTTTTGCAAGAATCTTCCATAATAACAATTTAATCCAGTCGAATTAAATTGTTACGTATTTTAAAAGCATTGCGGTTTTAATGTGGCAATATTTTTTATTATATGGGTAAGTAAGAGTTAAATTAATTTTTATAATTAGAATGGTAGAGTCTAAAAAATATCCTTTTATATATATATATAAAAAAAAAAAAAAAAAAAAAATGAGGTCAGGAATTTCTGTGATTTCAATACGGAAAAAGTATGATTATTCCGAGTTCGCCGATTGATAAAGAATTAACACGTACCAGTTACAATATTCATGGAATAAAAATAAATCATTTCTTCCCGAGAGTTTAATAAAAATTATACGAAAGAATCAATGATTAAAGCTGTCATTAATCAATGATTGGAAACAGTGAAAGTTGTTTTATTGGTCCACATGAGTGAATGATTAAAATCAGTGTGATTGGAAACCCCATTTCGTAGCCGAAAATGAAATTTTAACATAACTTAGAATTCTTTTCTATTTTTTCTTTATATGTCATTCTTTATAATGAAATAGCATTATTTTTTTTATTCTTAAGCTGCTGCTGCATTTTTTACTCTTAATGCTGACAAAGATTTGATGATTAGTGAATTATCAACGATTGATTATTAACGCTTATTAGTAGCTGATAAATGCTAATAAAATTGTTGTATTGTTTTCTAATGTTTGCTGTATTGTTTGTAATGTTTTATAATAAACAGCATTACAGAGGATGTTCTTAAAATATTATGTGATTGAATATTCTTTGGACAACTGATTGAAGAAATATGGTCTTAGCTTAAGAAATATGATCTAGTTTCTAGAACTAAGGAAATTTTGGTCTCACAGGAAGTTTTTGTGAAATAAATTAGAGTAAATTTTGAACGACTGCCATGAAAAATAATGTCACTGAGAGAAATATATTTTAAAGGAGAAATGGTTAAACAAACAAACAACAATTTTATTCTCATGCTATTAAAATTACTCAAAGTAGTGTTAGTTATATCTTTTTGGGATCTTGCACAAATACTACTTAAAATAGCTATTTAGTTTACAAATTTAAAAAAAAAAAAAAAAAAAAAAAAAAAAAAAAAAAAAGACTTTTCGTAAGGGGTAAAAATTTGGTGTAGCAGCATGAAATCCTCATTTGTGGATGATGAGGGGGATGTGGATTGTAGCAACAATGTTTTGTAAGCCATCTTACTAAGAAAGTTGAACATTAATGGGGTAAGCTGAAAAAAAAAATAAAAAATGTATGCCAACATTTAACACTGCATCGGGAATTCTAAACATCTGCATTTAAAATTTTTATGATTTTACTGTTGAATAGTATATGAAATATGTGCGAAGAAAACGATGTGTAATAATAAAGTAAAAAGACAAAACTTATAGTTAGCAGGAGTGAGTGCAACAGCAGACTGGTAGACTTGCGAGCTCAGTCAACACGTAAAAAACATTAACAAACCCTTTTGAGCGACCGTTAAAATCTAAAAATCCATCAGATTTTTTTTTTAAATGCCCAGAAGGGCTTTTAGTCTCGAGACACGATTTTGATTTGATTCACTTTAAACTGGCATCTACTATAACTGCATTGTTTCAGTTTTCATTCCGGTCTGTTGCCATTCGGCAAAATGTAAGACATTTGTCTTTCAAATTTAATCTGTGATTATTAAGCTAACCACTTTAAAAGTAATAGATGCAATTCTTAGTATTGTTTTTTTACTTTTTAATCAGATTGACTTAAATAAAAATTAATAATTTGTCTAATTAAAAACTTTACTTTTTTTAATAGAATTACGTTATACATTTTTCACTTTGCAAATATACAGAAGATATGCAACGTTCCCATGTTAATCTAAATATATATTCATCTGGGATCCTATGAAATGTTTCGCTATTCATCTAGATCACTTTTATTGATAAATCATATATATATAAACGTTAAAAGAGCTTTTTGGGGAGACCATTAAAATCTGAATTATTTCACACTTTTATTCCCCTATTAAAAAGACTTCAGTATAATAAGGGCGGATTACTAAATCGAATTTTCTTTATGAAAAGTGCATAAAAATTCTGATTTTGCATTTTTTAAAAATTATTTAGTGGTGTCACGAAACTGGAATTATCGCAACTGAAACCTTTTCTTACTAAATTTATCTCGTAAGTTAGAGAGGGCCGGCCTTTAAAGAGATATTTGGTCATTTCATTTTTCTGAAACACTTTATATCATTCAAATCAATGCATCATTATTCAAAATGGCATGTGACATTATTTGTTCATAACAGACCAGAGTAAAACAAATTTCTGGATTGTATTTTTGCTGAAAATTAGCAATATTTATTTTAAAATTCTTGTGGTCTAAATTTTTAGAAGTGTATAATTGTTTTGGCTGTTTATTAATAAATGAAGCAAAACATTTAAAGATTGTGTCGTTTATACAAAGGCTTTCATTTCTGCTGTTATAGTAAACTTTAACGACAATTTTAAACTGTGTAAGAAATAATTCTGTTGATAATCGCTTACCTCTGTTATGGAGTCGCACGGAAGAATGTTGTTAATATAGAAGGTTTGCTTTGTGAAAGAAGTTTCACAAAGCTAAATAAAAGTGAACCTATAACGGTAACATTTTAAGGATTCGGTATATGAAAGACTGCGATTTAAAATCACAGTTAATTTAAAGACAAAATATCGGGTAAAAAGATTCTCAGAGAATACATTAAAAACATTTAGAAACTTATTTGATATCGTGCAAAACAGGAAATCCATATTAAGATGGAAACGATTTAAATCTAATAGGAATTCTACGCATTACGCTTTTTTTTCTTCCTGTATTTGTGTTTACTGGGTTTCGAAGCCGCTGGAAATTAGCTTAATGAAAACAGTTTCAAGAAGATTTCCAGGAAATTTAATTACTGTATTCAGCCGCACATCTATTAAGCCATGCAAATATTTTTTAAAAGGTGTATGTCTTCGCATCGATAGCACACTACAATCGCAGATCATCTTCATGGCATCGTAAAACGTTTGTAATTTGATCAGGATTTCCGTGGATATCATAAGCCAACTCTAGCCATTTCAACCTTTAAATCATCTCAAAAGTACAACAGAAAAGAATGTGAATCCCAAATGAAAATTTTCCGCTGGGAATTTTAGGAATAATAATAATAAAAAGGCCATTAAAATTGTCAGAATGGCTATAAACAGCTTGGAAACTATTTTTGAAAAATAATACAACTTTCATGTAAGAAATATTACGTCATTAGCTATTATATACTATTATATAATATGAGTTTGCTCAAAAATGTAGCTATTATATTATATTTTTGAGCTATTATATTCCTGATATCTATTGTGTTCAGAAGACTATATATATACTATATATATGATGGTCTAACGAAGCTGTCGCGACACTCTCTTGCTTTCAGCAAGAATTGGGTCATCGTCTTTTTCACCAGAGGAACTGAAGAGAGGTGGGGGAACGCAACTTCTCTCGATAGTCTTTTTTATTCTTTTATCTCATTTTTGAATCTGGATTTTATTTATAAATGTGTAATCTCTATTTTATTGTGTGGCAATGAGGCTTTATATTATATATGAATTAGGATTTAGAACGAAGGCTGGTGACTATAAAAGATGGATGTAATGTAGTTACTGCAACTGGAATAATATATATATATATATATATATACACACACAAAAAGAAACATAATAAGAGGGTAAAAAAAAAAATAAAAAAATAAAAATTAAACCCGTCCTGCGCTATAACTGCAGGTTTGAAGTGGAATAAACTTAAAACATCTAAATTTATTATTAAATTGGAATAAAAGCAAGGCTATTCCTCCCCAATATTAATAATTGCAACCGTGTATAAAAGGTTTAACACAATATCTAAAGAAATCAAATTTAAAATAAGAATTCATAGTAGAACAAACTCGAAAAATATAGATGCGGAAGGGCAAATATACAAAATTATACAAATAAAAATTAATCTCCCTTTAATGAAACTCCAATTCAGAACTCATCAAGAAAAAATGAATTAAAGCTTCATAAAACTCGATTAATATGTTTTGAAAACACGTTTCGTTCTTCTAATTCATTTGAGATTAAAAACCGAAAAAATACTCGTATTTATATAAATTTTCATTTAATTCAAATGAAAATTTAATTGAATCTTCTTTCTGTTTTTGATCTCAAATAAACCAAGAGACCAGGAGAACGAAACATGTTAATATCGTTACGATATCGTAATTATTAATATCGTAGAGGAATTGCCTTTCTTTGATTCCAATTTAAAAATAAATTTAGATGCTTTAAGTTTTTATATATATAGTCTGGAGGTTGTGATAAGTGTGTTGTTTTTCTTGTTGGTCATAAAGTGTCTCGTTTTAGAACTCGAACTTAAAAATATCGGGTATATGTTACTGAACTTGCTAATCATTTTCTCAGAACATGCGAATCTGAAGATTGCATGTAAATTTGGATTTCAGCTGAAGCTAAAGGCAATTTTGGTGATTATTGATCATACTTTATTTTGATAGTGAAATCGACGTTACTTTGATTAAGCTGCAGTTAGTGATAATTCAGCAGAATCAAGTTTCGATTTTGATGCAGAAGGAAGTAATGAATCAGGCAGTTCTTGATAAATAAGTATTATTGCTGCCAATAAAAGTATTTGATAAATGAAGGATATTTTAGAATTGCATTTTACTATTTTTAATTTTCTAGGAATCTTTTCTTTTTTTTGGGGGGGGGAGGCATGGTATTGAAATTTTGAAACTAATGGCTGGCATTCAAGAATCGAAATAATACGATAAAAAGGTTGAAGAGCTTGGAAACTGTATTTTGAAAGCATTTCATTCCCAGTTTACTTGTTTCGGTAATCATGGAAGGTTATGTTAAATCAGAAGAAGCGTCCAGTTATAACGAGTGCTTTTTAAGAGAAAACTCTAACTGCACAGGACTTACCCGACGTGTTCAGGAGAGCAAAACTCATTGCCATTATCAGCAACAATATTTGTTCTCTTCCTTTGTTGGGTCGGCGTTTGACTGCTGCCTTGAAACTGCTGATTACTGAATCCGTAGACCACAAATTCCGTACCTTTGTCTTCCAACTCTCTTTAATTTCCAAACCTCTAGTTTCTTTCAGCAGGAAAATGACCAAAACCAAAGTGAGAACCGTTCCCGCAGTAGATGTTAAAAACACAGCTACATAACCATAATAGTTGAAAACCCATCCTCCAGCAAGTTGTCCTAAGGGCATTGACAAACCGAAAGCCACTTCCATGAAAGTGTATTTCATGGTCCTTTTCTCGAGGGTCGTCACATCCGAAGCAAAACTGAAGAGGACAGTGAGAACGCTAATGATTCCCCCTGAAATTCCTGTAAATATAGCACTAAGGAGATAATATTCTACTCTACTAGAGAAGATACCAGCACAGAGAGCAGCTCCTAGGCTATCGAGTGTTATACCAAAGAGACCACAAATTATTGGCAATTTCCTGCTATACTTATCACTCCACGCACCTATGAAGCAAGCAAGAATTGCAGCCGGTAACATCTGAATAAGTGTATGTCCTACTTGGTAGTTGTTAGCCATTTTTTCAACTTTTATGTTTATATCTGTGTAATTTCCAAGATTTGAACATATTTCTTCTGGATAGTGCAAATGAAAGAGACATACCTTGTCTATAATCATAGATGTAGATGAAACTGATCTCATAACGGCAGAGAACATGTATAAGAATAAGACCACTTCTATCTTTAAATCCTTTATTTCTGATAAAATAATAGCTGCTTTAGAAATTATAATGTCAGTAGTCTTTGCTTTATTGCCACTATCCTCAGAGAATTTGATAGGTTCATCCACTGTATCTGTTTCATTCAATTCTATTGTTTCTGGTGGATTTTCCTTCATGGATATTTTCTTTCCGGGAGACATTTATGAAGTATTCGAATCAGTGATAATACTTGCTTGTTTTTCTTTTGCGTTTAAAACCGTGTCAGGGCTTAAAATTAGATGACTTTCTGACAATCTTTCTGAAAGAAAAATAAAGAACATGAAGTTTTGTCCAGAAAATCCAACAGCAATGAAAACTATGGCAAATTTGTGCTAGAAATATATTTAACTATAATACTCAAAACTACAAATTTCCCACTTTGTATATATACGAGAAATAGAATGAAATATACAGAATTAATGTCAAACAACAGTGGCAAACTATCTAACACGAAAGCATAAACTGAAAAGAAATGAAGCAAGAACATAAAATACAAAACTTAAGTAAAAACGGATTCATACAAAAATAAAACAATAAACATTATCCATTAAATAATAATTAATAAATAATAGTTGATAATTCTTTGGTCTTTGTAAAGGAACATCCAAGTTCCTAAATTAAGTCTGGATAAATTCCAAAAGAAAACATTAAAAAATTCTTTTTAAAATTTAAATTTTAAATAATCAAACGAGAGTACATTAATACAAAATTTAAAGTAAGTTAAAAATTTTAAAAGGCTAAAGAAAGATATTTTATATGTACATAATATACAAAGAAAAAACGTCAAAGTTTTGCAACAAGAGGAAGAACATTTTTAAATTAGTAATTTAAAATTCTGAAGAAGCAGAATGTACAAGTTACTTAGAACAAGACAACTAGGTAAACTAAAATTACAGAAGAGGAAAACACTGAATAATTGTAAATGCGGAAATCTAAAAAAATTTGAAAGTAAAAAGTAAAAAAAATCTGATGCGGCCACCATGTGACTTCCTTGTATTGCCTATTAAATTATTCGCATTTTCTGCTGCATTTCATTTAACCTTACTTCCTGGAATTTCATTAGAGATACATGGCTCACAAAAATGATCATACACTACAAGTTTCAGTAAAATATTGCTTTATTCATTAATAAAAATTAATATTTGAGCATGAGAATTTTTTAATATCTATACATTTCTCTTAACAAAAATACATTAGTTATTTTATGAACATGCTAAAACTTTTTTTTGGATAAATCAATGATCACAAAGTAGCAGAAAAGTTAGCCCGCAAATGTCTTTGTAGATTATCTGCACATATTGTAGTATTTCTGTTCGTTGTGGGATATCCTGCAGCCCTTATGAGAGCTTTCAAACATCTGGCCATAGAGTTCACGATTTTTTTTTCATAATATGTGCATTAGTGTTCCCCCATTCCTCCATCATTCCTGGTTTTAGTTCGGTTTATGTTTTTAATTTGTGTCTTCGTACTCTAACTTGTAATTTTCTCCAAATGCGTTCTATCGAGTTTTAATCTAGTGACTGAGGTGGTGCTTTTAGACCTCGTGGATAATTATAGACACACTAAAGGCAAACGTTCAGGGCCACGTGCTTAGGATCATTATCCTGATAAAAAAAGTTGTTTCCAATACCCAAATTTTGGGAGGATAATTTTAAACTACCTCTTAAAATATTTAAATAGAGGGTTATGGTTCATTATGCCATCAATAAATACTAAATTACCTAATTCTGATGATGACATGCCCCTTGGCACAAGGACACCTCTACCGCCATGCTTTACTGTACCAACCAAAATCTTGGGATTAAGTTCCTCACTTTTTTTTCCATAAAATTATATGCCCATCGGAACCAAAAATTTTAAATTTGCTTTCATCTGAAAATAAGACATGATTACGATACACTTTGGGCTTATTTACTATTGATTTTGCGAAGGAAAGAATAAGCTTTCTATTTTTTGCACTTACAAAAAACTTTCTTCAAGCAGAGCGCCTATGTAATTCAACTGACCTGAATGCTCGTCGAACAGTTTCAGGAGAAATTGAAGTAGGAAATGTTTCAGTATATTCTGTAGAAATTAAAGCACTCAAACGTGGATTTTTCACATATTTTCTCACAATAAATATCTGATCACATTGAATTAACTTTGCCAGATGATGTCTTCTTACTTCATTTTCGATCCGATTTTCTTCGTTAAAGCCTTTTATCACGTAGAGCACCGTAGAATGGGATAAATTTACTAATTTAGCGACATCCCGGATCCATTTTCTACCCTTCTGATGAAAAATGATCAATTTTCGAGTGATATTTGTTGTTCCCTTACGACTACGACAATTTTTAAATGTTAATTAAATTATAACGAAATAAGCAAGCAAAGGATAAAGCCAAACGAACTTTAAACGTCACTAAATGCAAAACAAAAAAGTGCTAGACTATAATTTTATTTATGAAATTATACTCTGATTAATTTGGTGTACGATAACTTTTCTGGCGTGTTTTATGTATGACTCCTTATATTTTCAATTTCAGTAAAAGAAATAGGTCAATATTAAAAAAAAAGAAAGTTTTGGTTTTATTCAAAATTGCATAGAGGTGATATGAAAAAATATTATATTCGAATTTAATTCCGGGCTACACAGCTTTTCTACAAATTCTTGAAGTGTTCGAACACTTTTGGAAGCGATTGTATATTTCTCATTCAGTTAATTCAGTTCTCACTTGGCAGCAAGACAAAAATACATAAAACCTCAAACTATCTTCATTAAAAATTGAAAAAATAATTAAAAAAAACATAAAGCACAAAATAAAGCTAAAACAGTTTTTACAATTAGAGTTTCTACGCAAAAACAAGCAATTCGACCAACGTGCAAAAAGGCAGATTTTTCAGTGCACAAACCTGAAAGTTTACTTTTAGTCAACTCGCCAAGAAGACACTGAATGTGCAGAAAGTGACTTAAATCACTATTCTACAAGGCTTCAAATATAAACAAACATGGCTGCTAAGTTAAGCTTAGCCGCACTAAAACAGCATTTAAATTATTGATAATTCTACAACTATTGCAAGCAGATTAATTAAAGTAATAAAAACCTTAACCGGAACATAAGAACATAATAATTCAATCATTTTTAAAGCAAAAAATGCATAGTTTGCCAACAAGAATATATATATATTATATTAAAAAAAAAAAAAAAAAAAAAAAAAAAAAAAAAAAAAAAAACTGAGCTCAACCAACTTGAGTAACAGTGTGGATATATATAAATTAAACACAGCAAAATTAAATTATATGATAAAAGGAGGAATTTCCAGTTTAATACTATTAAACTAATTAATTGGAACTCTAATATCTCTAGAAATGTAATAAGAAGCACTTTTTATAGCCAAATAATCAGAATAAAATATATATGTACTGAAATAGAAGATTTAAAGGAAGGAATAATAAAGCTAATTAATGTTCAAGCTAATAACCAAGTCCCATCATAATTTATTAATTTATATAGAATTCAGTATTTCTCATTCAATTAATTCAGTTCTCACTTCAAGACAAGGCAAAAATACATAAAAATTCAAAATATCTATATTAAACGTTACGAAGTAAATCTTAAACACTTCTTTCCTCGAATAATTTCCAGAATGGATTAAGCATGATTTAAGTCGCTATAATAAAAGAAGGCGTTATCTTTGTTGTTGCGAAGCTTAGTTTCTCTAGAATGGCAACAAATTAGCTATTCTGATAAGTTTCCAATGTAAACAAACATGGCTGCTATAGTAAAAATAATTAGCCGCACATAAACAACTTTTAAATTGTTGATAACAATTGCAAATAATGCATGCAGATTTACCAAAGGTATGAAAACCTTAACCGGATGATAGGAACAACATAATTCTATCATTTTAAAACAAGAAATGCACGATTTAAAAACATATAAGAATACAGAAACTGAGATTACTGAGCCGAGTAACAAAGTTAATATAGTTTGGGTGTGGCCGATTGCAACCAAAATAGGATGTGCACATCTACACATTATAGCAGTCCTATATACAAAATTTCATCGCTGTGAGACCGCTCGCTTTTGAGTTATGCGAGATACATACACACACAGACGTATGTAGACGAGATACAGACACACACAGACACTGCGAAAAAAAAAGGGGGGACAGTTCCATACCTCCCATTCCACTGCGCCTATTGACGAAATTCAAATTGCGTTTTCCATGTCTCGAAAGCGCGACTTAGGATATACATTAGATCTATATACAGCTTTGTTCTAATATAGGTGTATTTTGACACAAAATAGGGCTTCTGAAATAACACACCAAACTTTTTTTTTTACATATTTCAATTCTACGACTCAAATTATACCTAAATCTTAAATTTTGTAAATTTACTGGTGCAAAATTTACGGAAAAACTCAAAAATTCAATTTGGCGCATTTTTTTCGGTTTGAACCAAGGATAATTCACTTAGCGAACTTCTTAATATATGGCAACCTATTGTCTTTTCTCTCTCATTGTGCAGGAGCGGATAAAATGTCACGTCGTTCCTACTTTCAAAAAATTTTAACAAAGTGCGTAAACCACATTTTCATTATTATCGCTTTCAACAAATATGCCAAATTTTAAAATGCGCCAATATATAAATTCACGTATATCTCCGGAAATTTGTAATAAAAAGCTCTAATTTTTCGAAAGTATGCTTAGAAATACATCTACTTTAAGATAATTGTAAAAATTTTACAGGTTATTATTCAAAATATTTTCCAAAAAATTTTAAAAATTATTTAAAAATACAAATTTGAAAAATAAATAATAAAAAATGGGTGAATTTCATTTATAATGAACCTAAGTTTCGAACTGTGTAAGAACGAATCAAATAAGTTTCATAAAAATAGAGGTATTAATAAATACGTACAAAACTGAATTAAGATTGAGGAGCTAAAATTTTGAGAGCTTATATTCTAAAAACTACTCTTGCGATTTTTACAAAATTTGGGAGTTTGGCATAATTTGAGCCGTAGAATCGAAATATGGAAACCAATTGGCATATCATTTTGGAAAAACTCTGATTTTGTGTCCAAATATTTGAACAATGCTGTATATAAATTTATATATAGCACATTTGAACAATGCTATATATAAATTTAATATATAT